CGTCGGTGCCTGATAACATTAGGTTTCGTGGCCTGTATTCTGTCGAGCACGCGATCTTTCCCAATCGGGGTCTCCTTATCTCGACGTCAGCATGGCCTTATCGTTAACACCGAGCATTCGACCGAGACGAGAACGAGAAGACGGAAAAAATGGGCAGGAAGGAGGAAAAATACGCGCGCACCTTTTTCCCTCGCCGCCAAGAAATCACCGAAAGTGCGCGGCCGAAGCTGATTCTTATCCGCTGGCCTGCTTCTCGACGATTCAATGTCCCCCCCGATACCTTCGGCCATTTCTAGGCCCCGAGCGCGAGTCGCTCCACCTTCGCGATCCGTCTTGCGAGCTCGCCGCTCCGTCGTTCGATGCAGTCGCGATGCAGTCGCGATGCAGTTCGCGCCGAGATCGCCGATCCTTCGTCAAAGCGGAACGCATTCCTCTCCGTTTTACGGAAATTGATTTCGCGGCTTCGAAGTGCCGCGCACGAAAGTATCTCCGCTACGAGCAGTCCGTAAAATTCGGTGGCCAAACTTTCGTCGCGGCTTTATCGCGCTTCGAAACGAAAAGCGACCATGAATTTCGAGAGCATGTCCGATAGAAGAGACGACGGTCGAGAGCGTCGCCGTCGAGTTCCGCGGGAATTTCTGCGGAACCGTTCGCGGCTCCGGAACGGCGCGCGAAGCTCGGTAATTTTCAGCTTATGAATTTTTATCTCCGGCTGTTGAAGCCGCTTTTTCAGTTTGGTTTTTACTCGAACGCCGCGGAGTGTACAGCCACTCGGCGCGAGAACGAATATTCGCGGAGAACGCGTATAAAACGGTAACTGAAGAGGCGGCACTCCAGCAACGCTCTCGCAACGATTCACGGAATCGAAACGAACCTTTGCGGGGCCCGTTTCTGAAACCCGGGTTTCCACGTTTAACGGTCGATCGGGGAAAAAAGGAAAGAGCCCGACGCGCGGTTAATATCTCGCCGCGGCGCGGAGCGGAATCGCGTTGGCGCGGAAGCGACAATTCCGAGGATTATCGATGCCGAACGTGCGAACAAAAAGAGAGGAGGGAGAAGAGGAAAGAATCGCGCGCGCGTTTGCATTCGGGCCGGGCCGGGCCGGACCAAAGCCGCGTGTTTATAACAGCAGGTTTCACGGTTCGACGCATCGGCGATACGCGACTGATCGATTGTCCGTCAATGAGAGCCCGCCTGGGCGAGCTTTTCGATGTCGACGCTCAAATAATAGGCGGCGCGATGCATCGGCGTCGTCGTCGTCGGCGTCGGTCTCTTGCCTTCGCATCGGCCTCGGCGTCGGCATCTGCATCGGTGCAACGCTGCTCGATATGCAAAATTGCCGTGCAATCGGCGAACCGTGAGACGAACAAAAAAAACCTTGACGCGTGCCCTCCCCCGCGGAAAAAGGCCAGCCGAGGGACAAAAAGCGCGGGCAGAGAGGCCGAGCCTGGAAAAGCAATACCTTCTGTGTGTGTCCGTGCCCGGTATCGGCTAAACTGCGAGAGCAACTTCTTCGATCGTATATATTATTTACTCGTCCCGCGCTGAATTTTCTACGATTTTTATGCATCTATTTGTTGATTTTGTTATTCATTGTCCGCGACAAAGAGTCGTTTGTTTTCCTTTCGAGGCGACGGCGAACCGGAGAGAAAAAGAGAGAGAGAGAGATAGAGCGAGAGAGAGAGAGAGAGAGAGAGAGGGGAATAGGGGTCAGCGTATCCGCGGCGAAACGTATTCGAAACGAAACGATTGAACACAAAGCTGCTGCATTCGATTTTCTGCTCGGACGCGACTCGCCCACACGCCTCGATTTCCCGGCCGGGTTTTTCTTCGATATTCACGTCCGACGGGACGGCACGACACGGGACTATATATCGGCAGGATGGGTTTTCATTATCGGAGTCGGGCGCGCCGATCGTCGGTTTCAATCGTCGAAACGATTCCGGCTCCGTCGCGCGGTTCCATTGTAATTTGCGGACTCGTCGAACAAGCCTCGTTTCTCCTAATTTGTTTACATCGACGACTAGTCGTTATTAGACCTGTTACAATTCTGTCGGGAAACCCGATGCGGCTGCCGCAGCTGCTGTTCTCGATCCTTTAAACACGGTTCCGCCATCCGATACACGCGAACTCCGTATCCGGAAAATCATAGGTGGTGCGTCGGAAATTTCGCCGAATGGAATTGTAACACGGCTCTGACGCGATCCTCTTACCTCGGCTCGCCTGCCACGCTTAAATACCGCTAACTTCTTAAACACGTGTCAACGAACGCGCCCCGTCAGTTGTCTGCGGAACTTTGATCTGCTGCGTTCACACAAAACGCACCGAAAGCGACTGGTTTTTCTCTCGCTTTACGTAAAAGTTACAACGTTCTATTTATTCGTCCCTCGTTCAATTATTATTACGCTCGAATAAAGAGATTTAGGCGATCGTGTTCCACGGAAGCGTCTTCGTAATCTCGACGATCCTAAAATAGAAGATTGGAAACCGATCGTTCGACTCGCGATGGCGCGTTTAGCGCTAAACGGCCACTCAACCCTTATTTCCATCGTGAATGAAATGTCGTAACAGCGTCGGGATGCCTTCCATTTCCCCGAGGAAATTCTCCGAGATCTAAATTGTCGTTAACGATGCGCACGATATCGCGAAGCCGTCGAAAGCGGCGCGATCGCGACAGAGATCGCGAGGGAAGATCCTCCGGTCGCGTTTCGACGTCCCAAGGAAGCACCGTCGTTCGAGTCGCTTCCTCGTCGACCACGTAAATCCTGCGATTAATATCGACGAGGGTGGCAACAGGGTTTCGAAGAAGCTCTTCTTGCGGGAACGCGGTTCGTTTATCGCGCGCGACCCGCTTCTAAGGAACTTAAGACACTTAGAAGCAAATCGTGATCTACGAGCAGCACGGTTGCGAAAGGGGCTCGGCATCGAGGGAGCGGCTAACTTGGAACGCTCGAGAAGACTGGCTCGTTCGAGGCTCGCCGCTAATTAAGAAATACTTCCCCCCCCCCCGTTAATGTCTCCTTCTAACGAGCCGGTGACGAGGGCGCGCTGCTCCGTCGCTTCTTTCTTCGAAACGGCCCGCGCTCGGCCGAAGCGTCCTCGTCCGCGAGATTCGACGTCGACGAACCTCCGAAAAAAGTAATCGAAAGGAATCTTCTGCTCGATCTCGCCGCGGTTGCAACGAACGGACCGGCCGCTACATTATTCAGGACCGCCACTTGTTACGTTACATCGACTCTCGGTGCACGGGGTGCATCGAGGCGTGCGGCCAGACCTGATTTCCCCGTTGGCAGCCGGTTCACGGCTAGAATCCGCAGGATTAGCTTTCAGCGTTTCCGATCGGACAGG